TTCTGCCAGGTGTCTGTGGCCTCTTCGATCCTTCCCCCGCGTGGTCTCACCCAAGATGGCCGCTCCTGGAGCAGCCAAGCGTCTTGGACTAGAAAGCAATAGATTTCTTGCTTCTGCCACAAATTCCCCTAGCTGTGAACCTTCCATTCTTCTAAATATTCCTTTATATGTGGTTCAGAGTTCGGGGATCAGCCCCTGAGCCTGCTTAGTCAGGTATTCTGTGTTCTTGGCGGAGCTCCTTTACTGCACTTCCACCCGATCTGCCACCCGATCTGCCATCTTGTTTGTTTGTCTCTCTTCCTAGTACTTTTTATTCCCAAATGAAAATACTGTAATCACTTTTCCTCATACAATTTTATATTTCTATAAGCTGCTACTTTTTTTGTTTTTGAGAATTTCTTACATTTTGTAGCTTCAATTCAACTTGTAGTTTTTAAAATTTAGACATTTCCATGATTTAAATCAATTTTGGCATATGATGTGAAATAAATATTAAAATCTGCTTTTTAAAATAAAAATCATCATAATACCATTTAATGATTGCAGGTACAAATAATTTTTTCTACTTATGTATTTATATTATTTCAGGAATTCCAAACTCTATAGTTACTGCTTTATTTTCAGTTTACTTTTATTTATTTTTTAAAGTTTTATTGTGAATTATGTGATACTTTACATGGGAGAATATTAATTTTACAGTCATCCTATCGTATATTGTTTCATTGCCATGGCTACAATTCCCTCCATGCATCACCAACCAACCAAAGATTACATCCTACAAGACTGCCCCTCCCCCCTGTTTCCGTGTCTCCTTCCTGCCCCCCCACCCCCACCCCCTTGTTCCTCATCACACAGGCCCTCTCCCTCTCTGAGTCCAGAGTCTCCAGCTGCTCCATCTCTTCACATCATCATCTCTGCCTCCATCTCAGGGATCACTGCTTCTCTAGGTAGGATCCTGCTCTCCACTCTTCTCCCTTCATGGTTCCATGGACCTCTGCTCCTAGACTGCAAAGTTAATCACTTCCTGCTCCTAGACTGCAAAGTTAATCACTCCCTTCCTTGCCACAAAATGTCTACCTTTACATTTACAACCCTCACAATCAGTCCTGATAACACTTATTCACTAGTTATCCTTGTGTGGCACTGGATCACAAGGTTGCTTTGAACCACCAGGTCAGTGGTTCAAACTCATTAAGCATTCCTTGGAAACCCTATACAGGGTCTCTGTTAGTTGGAACCAGGACTTAGCATCCACAACAACAGTTGTCTGAGGATTCTCTTCTTGCCCCCAAACTCTATTTATACAGAATTTCCCTTGGTTATTTTCATACATTTTATTTCTAGGTTGAAATTGAAATCACTTTATCAGGTTTCAGAAAAATATTTCATTGCATTGAATTTATAGGTTAATTTCTGGAAACTTAACAAGATTTAGATATTCCTAAATACCAGCCGCTTCGCGGGAGAAAGATGAGGCTTTCTACTCCCGTAAGGATTTACACCCTCGGAAACCCTGTACAGGGTCGCTATGGGTCGGAACCGACTCGACGGCACTTAACAACAACAACAACAAAGGAGCTCTGGTAGTGTAGTGGTTACGAATCGGGCTGCGAACCTTAAGGTCAGCAGTTCGAAACTACCTGCTTTTCTGCAGGAGAAAGATGAGGCGTTCAGCTCCCGTAAAGTTTACAGCCTCGGAAATCCTGTGCAGGGTCGCTATGAGTTGGAACCGACTCCACGGCACACAGCCACCACCATATAGTATATGGTTTCTATAGTATAATTTATTTCAGCTATTTTAAGGAAAATGGGACATTTCATAGAATTGGCATAATTTCTAGGTGGACTAGGGAACAATGCGTGTTACACTTCATAACCAGGACCACGAAGCCAGGAGAACTGACTCAGTCATACCGAGAGGCTGTTTTAAAGAAACCTACTTGTGATCCCTGCATACTGTTTGGTATCAGTAATCCTGAGAATTGTACACTCAAATCTCTTCCAGAACTTTCCTGGAAGAAATCAGTGCATTTACCGTTGTGCTTGCCAGGAGTTCATATTTCCCGGCATGTAGATACTGTCTCAAGTTGTCTCATTTTTGTTTATTTCCATCTAATGCAACTTTACATCTTTTGCAGAATCTAGGTCTCTGGCTCTAAGGAGTCTTAATTGCTCTCTAATTCTGAAACCTCTTTGCTTTTCTGGAGTAAATTATGCTTGGTTATATCTATTAATCTTTTATGAGGTATTGATTCAATATTGTAAAGTTTATTGTCAACTGTCATCTAGGTAACCTCCTGACTCATAGTGGCCCTATGCTCAATGGGATTGACCATTGTAAGCATAGTGTTTTTAATTGGTTGAGTTTTCTGAACTAGATTGCTAGGCATTTCTTCCTAATATACCTTAGTCTGGAAGCTCTGCTGAAACCTGTTCAGCTTCACAGCAACCTGCAAGCTTTCAGTTAAGACCGGTGGTGGCTGTTCTAGAGATGCATTGGCTGGGAATTGACCCCAGTTCTCCCATATGGAAGGTGAGAATTCTACCACTGGCAGGGTAAAAGGTTAACATTCCTCCTGCTAATTGAAAGATTAGTGGTTCAGGGCTACTCAGAAGTGTTTTGGATGAAAGGCCTGGCTATCTGTTTAAAAAAAAAATCAGCCACTTGGGGAGGTGAACACACTTGTACTCTGATACACATAGGGTGACTGTTAATTAGAATTGATTTGATGGCAAATGGTTTGTATTATACAGTTTATTTTCTCATAATTCTTGTCTACCTTTTGGATTTAGTAATGATTAACAAAAAACTCCACCAAGTATTTGGGTAGGTTGAAGTGTAGATGAACCCTGTATGTAACTATTTCTGAGAGACATATTAAAAAAGAAATCTAATAAAATTGTAACTCTGCAAAAGTATTTCTAAAAGTATTTTTAAACATTTGGGTCTTTTTAAATGTAAACTTTTCCTCTTTGTGGGAATGGTGTGGTTGAAATGGCAAGGTAAGTAAAGATCCGTATAGCCTTTGAGATGGATTTTTCTGTTACTAATATCACTGGAGTCCTGGTGTGGTGTTGTGCAATAATGCATTGGACTGTCTGCACCACAAGGTCGGAGGTTTGAATTCACCATTCTCTCTTTGGAAACTCTGTATAGGGTCACTATGAGTTGGAATCAACTCGACACCATTTAACAATAACAGTATCAATGAAGGGACATCCTGGTGTGGTGTGGTAAGATAAGCACAGGACTGCTAACCAACCACAAGCTCAGTGGTTCAAACAATAACAGCAGTGTCTGTGAAATACTTTTAATTGATGACTGACTTTGGGCATGTGACTTACTATGTTTAAGTTACTCTGGTTTTTGCTAAGGAAGAGTGGACTATCAAAATGCATTGCTGTTGTTGGTTATTAAGTGCAGTTGGCTCAGTTCCAACTCATAGCTACCCTACATAGGTTAAATTGCTGACTTTGTGGTTCAAACCAACCTTGCATTTTATCATATTAACCCACAGCACTGCACCGGGAGTTCTTATTTTTGTTATCCAGTAACAAACTAGAAATTTGGTAAATACAAACTTCAAGTATTATATTTAATCTTTGAGACTTTTTTACCTTTTCATTTTTGTTTGGTGTTCTCCAACCTTGATTGCATAATAGAGAAGGGCATTGAGTTTGCTATGGGTAGTCAATAGAGTTGATAATTCATTAATGAAATTTTGAATTAGAAACAATTATATTTTCAATTAGGTCTTTGTTAGGAGGGCATTATGTAATTATTAATAAATCTAACGCATCTTATATTTGCTTTGGTTGAAAAACATTTTCATGTTTATGTTTTCAAGTCTGTCTTTGTGTGCTATCTTACCTGAATATATATTTAGAAGTTTTCTTTTTAAAGCTGTCTTTAAAAACTAATATATTGAGTGAAATTCATATACATGAAAATTCTAAGTGAAATGTAATAAATTCACAGTGTCGTTCAATCACTTCTTTGATTCAGTTAAAAAATATTTTCCACTACTCCAAGGAAATCCTTTATTCATTAAGCAGTTTCTTGCTAGTACTCCCTCCCTAGCTGCTGGCAGTCACCAACCTGCCTTTTCTCTCTGTGGATTTAATCTAACTGGATATTTCATATAAATGGAATTATATAATATATGATACTCGTCATTTGACTTCTTTTACTTAATGTTTTTGACATCCATTCACGCTGTATCTACGTATCAGTACTTAGTTCCTTTTTTTGGCTGAATACTATTCTTTTGCATGGATATACCACATATATTATCCAATTTTTTGTTGATGTACATTTGGACTGTTTTCTCCTATGAAAGTGCTGCTGTGAACATGCATGTACTGTTTGCAGTTCTTTTAAGTCTACACCTAGGAATAGGACTTTGGGGTCATATGGCAATTACGTACTTGGTTAATTTTTGAGGAATTCCAAACTCTTTTTCACAACAGTTCAGCTTCTTTTTATTCTTACCAGCAAGGTATGAGGACTCTTAATTGTTTTACAGTCTCACAAACACTTGTTAATTTTGTTTTACTCTGCAAACACCCCCACCCCCACTTAAAAAAAAAAAATAATGGTTATGAAGTAGTACCTCATCATGGTTTTGAATTGCATTTCCTAATGGACTCTGGTGTTGTCCTGTCAGATGAACAATGGGGTGCTAACTGTAAGGTGTGTGGTTCAGAACTGATTTAACAAAAACAATGACTATTGATCAGTTCAACATTTTTCCTGTGCCTGTTGTCCATTTATTTATTTTGTTTAGAGAAATATCCTTTCAAGTTATTTTCCCTGTTTAAATTGGGTTGTTTATCTATTTGCTTTATTTTGATATAAAAGTTTTTTGTTTTTTTGTGGTGGGTGTGGGGTACAGAAAGAATGTTTGTGTCTAGTTACTGCCAAACTACGATTTAGTAATGTATGTATAATTAACCAAGTGGTAATGATTTTATTTTTATTTTTTGTTTTTCTTTGAAAGCTGGTAGGAGGACAGTTTGATTTGGAAATGAATTTCATTATCCAAGAAGGTGAGAGTATCATCTGCATGGTGGACCTACTGGAAAAATGTGACATTACTTGCCAAGCAGAAATCTGGAGCATGTTTACCGCCATTCTGAAAAAAAGCATACGGAATCTTCAAATCTGTACTGAAGTAGGCCTTGTTGAAAAAGTGCTTGATAAAATTGAAAACGTTGACAGTATGATAGCAGGTATGAATTTTCTATAACAATGTATGGGAAGAAATAACACTTGAATTAAAAATTTTACTTTTCTTAATGTAGTCTACAGCATTTATTTAAGGAATATTTGAGCATCTACAGTGTCTGAACCCTTAAGTAAACATAGTATATTAAATCCATCATGAAATACATATACCTTAATTACTTATTTATTGTTGTGTTTTGGTTTTCAGATCTTTTAGTTGACATGTTGGGAGTGCTGGCTAGTTACAATTTGACAGTTCGAGAATTAAAGTTATTCTTCAGTAAACTTCAAGGAGATAAAGGACAGTGGGTAAGAAACATTTAAATACTCTTTGGTATTTAAAAGTATCCCTTTTCCCATATACATTAGCAGCTTTGTAAGTAGCTGAAAATTTATATGTATCGGATAAAAGTTGATTTTATGGTAAGAGATAAATTAAGATAACATTTACAACCAGTCATGACTGGTCACAGGTATGGACTAAGAGAATTGGCACTTTTAGGCAGGATAATACATTTGGTCCTTATTCAAATTGCCAATCTTTAAAATATATATTCAACATTTATGTAGAAAAAAGGGTAGAGAAAGAAAACTATATGCATCAATTCTGTGAATCTGAATAGGTAGTTCTGGCCCTCAAACTTAAATGAACAAAAGCTTGTCAATTAGTAGGATTCACCCTTCTTCTTGTAATTTACTGGTCCTTTGCAAATGTGGTAGTGATGGTGGTAGGGAACATATTTTGAACCTCAGGCTGTTTATCAAACTTTCCTACCAATTAGTTAGCTGCCCCTTAGAAAAGTTCAAGTAAATGTTATTTTCTCCATTTTTGTTACATTGCCAGGCTTATTTTAATGTCCTCTAGAAGTTAAGAGTCCTGGTGTAGCACTGTGGTTTAGTACGTTGGATTGCAATATTGGTTTGAATGGCAAGGTCAGCAGTTCAATCTTACCAGCCACTCCTTGGAAACCCTATAGAGGGTCACTGTGGGTTGGAACTGAGTTGACGCTCAACAACAATAGAGATTTATGACCGTATCTGCTAACTCAGTAGATCCTTAATCTGTCTCTGATTAGCTGTACCTTAGTTTATGATGTGTCTTGACTCCAATTCATTATGTTAAATTTATTAGACTTTTATTTATTTTTTAATCAAAAATCACTTCTCTGGCTGCTTTTGAGGTTTTGTCATTGATTTTCAGAAACTTGTTTTTCAGTGTGGTTTACTTTGTATCTATTTGTAACAGGGCTCTTGCATCTTTGGGAGCTTATATAATTTTTATAAAATTTTAGGGGAATTGGTCATTGTTTCTTTAAATATCATTTTCTTGTCTTGCTTCTTTCCTTTTTCCTTCTTTCTGGACTACATTTACACATATATTACCTCCTTTGATATTGTCCTTTAGATCTACTGACGTCTGTTGACTTTTTCCCCCCGTAAATCTTTTCATTTTTTGGATTGCTTTTATTTCTATACTTAAAGTTAATTGATCTTTTCTGATGCAGTCTGTTAATCATATGCATTGAAAGTTTAATTTCAGATATTATACATGTATGTTTTTAAATAATATTGTCTTTCTCAGTGAATGTTTATGCTATGCCGTAAATTAGGTTACTAATTTATAACATAATATAAAATATAACAGTTATATTTTTAACAATGAGTCAGCATTCTCTTTCATTACATTCTGTTCCTTCTAATTCTGGTACTCTAGTTTCCAAGCCCCATTATCTTGTCATTTTTGCTTTAAAGTTGACTTTTATTCTTGTATTGTTGTTAAGTGCTGTCAAGTCGGTTCCAACCCATAGCGACCCTGGTGAGCTTAAACTGCCGACCTTGCAGATTAAACCAATTTTGCAGCCTAGCGCTGTAACCCACAGCACACTGTAAACATGGGTAATTTCTGTGTTTTGTATTCTTCTCTATTAAGTTTTCTAAAAGACGATTTTAGAATAGTTTTGATTTTAGGTTAAAATAGTTTCTTAGGATGATAGACTCAGGCAGCCCTCTGATCACAATTGATTCAGGAAATCTGGAATTTGAAATTTTTCTGTTCTGTGTTTTCCTTCCAGTCTTTTAGGGTTCATCTATGTGATCTTGTTCAGAACGACCATTTGTAGTAGTTGGACACCATCTTGTTCTTCTGGTCTCAGAATGGATGAGGCCATGACTCATGTAGGCCATTAGCCCTGTAGACTAGTTTCTGCTCTGAGTCTTTTGAGTTTTTTGTTTCTGTCTTTTGAGTCTTCTCTTTCCGTCTTTCTCTTTTGCTCTTTACAAGTAAAAACCAATAGTTCTAATCTTTAAAGTGTACATTTTTATCTCTTAAATTCTATTTGGAGTCCATGTGTGGTATTAAAGGATATGTAATGGACTTCTAACCATAAGGTTGATGTTTCAGATCCACCAGCTCAGTAACCCTATGTAGGGTTGCTATGACTTGGAATAGACTTGATGGCACTTAACAGCAATAGCATGAAATTCTGTTTGGTTCTGTTTAATATCTTTATTTCAATTTATTTTTTATGGAGTCTTTTTAGCTTCTTCAGAATATTTTGCGTACTTATAATAGTTATTTAATATTTTTGTTTGTTCTATAATCTCTCTCATTTGCTGATTACTGTAATTTTGCTCATACTGATGAGCCATATTTCTTGCTTCTTGGACTAGTTTACGTCTATAATTTAGACCTGGAAGTCCTGATCTGTTGCGATAGGATAAGCGCTAGACTGCTAACTGCAAGGTCAGCTGTTTCAACCCACCAGCTTCATTTCTGTGCAGGGTTTCTATGCGTCAGAACCAACTTGACAGCTCTTAACAACAACAACAACAACATTTAGGCGTAGCCATTCATGAATCTCAATTTAATGACCTTAATAGATACTCAAACAATTTCTGGGTTTATATTCTTGTTGAGTTGGTTCCAACTCATTCTGACCACGTACAGGGTATTTGAGGAGCAGCTGGTAGTTTGAATTACCTGCCCTGTGATTAACAGTCCAGTCCTTACCCTACAGTGCCACACCAAGACTCTTGGCTTTGTATTAGCTAAAGGAATTATTTGATTTACAGCTTCTAGAATTTTGACCCTACCTTATTGAGTTTTATGATAGGTATGCATTCCTTGATATTAACACAAAGACTTAGTGCTGATCTTTAGAGCTTTTATATATAACTCCTTCCTATTCAATACTCTTCTCTGATGTTTTTAGCCATGCTTCTCAATTCTGTGAGACATCCAAATTTTGCATGGTTTTCCTTTCCCGTTGTATTATTGTTGTTGTTAAGTGCTGTTTAACCTGTTTCAACTCATAGTGACCCTGTCTGTATAGGGTTTCCAAGGAGCGGCTGGTGGATTTGAAGCACTGACATTGCAGTTCAAACTGACCTTGCGGTCTAATGCATGTCCTACAGCATCACACCAGGACTTCCTTTGTAGTGGTGTAGAAATTGCATCCATACATAATCTTGTTTATTTCATTTTTCTTAGTGATCACAATCCTGTACTACCTATTGTTCTATATATGAAAACAGTTTTGTTTCATACATTTTATCCAATTTTGGAGTTTTTCGCAGGTTGATAAGTTTAGGCTCTGGTATTATGTCAAGATGAATGTCAGATAGATCTTTACTGAGATAAGAAAGTACCAGAAAGATATTTATTTGCGTTTTATTAATTATGCGATCTATGGATTTTAACAAATTATAGATACCATTGCAAAGAATGAGAATTCCAGAACACTTAGTTGAGCTCTAGTGGAACCTGCAGATATAAAAGAGTGAGTCATTTGAACATAACAAGGTGATACTACAGGGTTTAAAATCAGGAAAGGTGTGTATCACAGTTGTATCCTTTCATCATAGTTGTTCAGTCTGTTGTTAGGTGCTGGTGAGTCAGTTTTGACTTATAGTGACCTTATGCACAGCAGAACAAAACACCATACAGTCTTGGAACCATCCTCACAATCGTTGTCATTCTTGAGGCCATTGCTGTTGCCACTGTGTCTATCCATCTTGTTGAAGTCTTCTCTTTTCCACTGGCCCTCCACTGTACCTAGCATGATGTCCTTATCCAGGTACTTGCCCCTCCTGATAATCTATCTGAAGTATGAGAGACAAAGGAACTCTCTAAGGAACGTTCTGCTGTACTTCTTCAACATGGATTTGTTTATTCTTTTGATGGTCCATGTATTCTAAATATTCTTCTCTAACACCAGAACTCAAATTCATCATTGCTTCTGCAGTCTTCCTTATTTGTTGACCCACTTTCACATGCATATAAGGCAATTGAAAATATTATTACTTGGGTCAGGTGCACCTTAGTCTTCCTCAAACTGATGTCATTGCTTTTGAACACTTTAAAGAGGTCTTGTTCAGCAGATTTACTTAACAAAATATGTCATTTGATTTCTTGGTGCTGCTTCCATGACTGTTGAAGGTAGATCCAAGTAAAACGAAGTCTTTGACAACTTCAATTTTCTCTCCATTTCATGGTGTTATTTATTGGTGTAATGGTGAGGATTTTTGCTTTCTTTTATTGAGTTGCAATCCATATACCGAATGTTGTGGTCTTTGATCTTCTGTGTTAGGTAGTTTAAGATTTCTTCTTGTATCATGTGCACATCACAGGTTGTTAATGCATGAGTCTTTCTTGTATCCTGATGCCATGTTCTTCTTCATATAATCCAGCTACTTGCCTTATTTGCTCAGCATACCAACTGAGTAAGTGTGCAGAAAGAATACACCCCTGGCACACGCCTTTCCTGATTTTAAACCATTTAGTGTCCACTTGTTCTATTTGAATGACTGTTCCACATGAGTTAAGTGTTCAAGAATACTCATTCTCCTCAATGCTGTCCATAGCTTGCTATGATCCACAGAGTCTTAAGCCTTTGCATAGAGATTCTGTTGGGTCATCTCTCTTTGGAATGGGAAATAATTTGGATCTTTTCCAGTCTTCTGCCCAGGTAGCGTCTTCCAAATTTCTTGTCATATCTGAGCCTCTTGTGCCGCATCAATTTATTGATAGATTGCATTTTGTATTTGATAAATTCCGAGTGCCATGTTCTTTGCCAGTGCCTTCTATACACCTTGCACTTCCTCCATCAATATTATTGGATCTGATTATATGCTGCCTCTTGAAATGGTTGAACATCGACCATTTCTTTTTGGACAGTGACTCTCTATTGTTTCCATCTTATTAATACTTTCCGCATCATTCAATATTTTGCCCATAGATGACTTCAGTATTGCAAATGGAGGCTTAAATTTCTTCTGCAGTTCCCTCAGCTTAGAAATGCTGAGCATGT